GCTTCTATTTTTAACTGGGGTTTAGAGACAGACTTAGCCCAGTGCCAGGAGCACAATATATTTAAATAATGCTGAATTTATGCTCTTAATAACATCAGTCCAGTGGCTCTAACCATTTCTGCAGTTGTGTCACTGCCATCATTTCCTTTCCCTAGATAATGTCTTCTTTTAAAGGTTCATACCTACTTTTAAAATTAACTAAAATTAAGATTAATTTCACTTGAAGGAATTTTTTGAGAATCCAACAAACAGTATTTGAGAGAACTGAGTGTCACAAAACAGAGTTAAAATTTTAATAAAACATAACACATTTATTTTTTTACGGAAGAATCTGAAACTTTTGAAGGATGGTAGTTTTCTGGTAACCTGGCTCTCAAAGGGAGGGAGACTGAGCAGGACAAAAACAAGCTCTGATTGTAGTCAGCCAGTTTCTGTGTGTAAAGACTACCTCTGGAGCCAATTTCAAGCTGCCATCGTGATGCTACTGACCACAGAGTTGGGAAGAGACTCACGTAACTGACTCTCTAGAGCAGGTAGGAGTGCATACACACCACGGTCCTGGGTCAGATGGGTGTGTTCAAGGTGACAGCATCAAGGTACCTGTTCACAGAGGAACCTACTGAGATCAAAGGCATGGACAGAAATGTACAGTTCTACTTCAGTTAATGATCTTTTGGCTCTTTGACTCTCACCACGTATCTATTTAGATCTCTAATAGAGCGTTTAAATTCAATCTTTTGGGTGTTAATTCTAAACTCTCCCCACCCGATCCTGGCTTTTCTCAGACTTGGAGCCCATGGCAGCCAGTTGTCTCCAAGAAGAATCCTCTGCTTTTATTCTGCCCCCCACCCCAGTGAAACTCACCCCTCTGGCTGCAAATGTCCCATATTCTAGCCATGTGGGCCATGCTCCCCTCCACTCCCCTCTCCCCAAGGATACAAGTTCAGACAAGTATAATCATGGTTCATTGTGAGTTAATATAAATGCTGTTACACTAGGCTACTGAGGAGCAGAGTGGAGAAGAATGAAGGTCTAATAGGTTATCCTGGGGCTAAAATTTTAGAATCATTTCAATAACAGGTAAACTGAGTCATCAGAATTTAAACAATTAATTACTGGTTGAAACACACAAACACACACACACACACGTTTATTTACTTAGTTACTTATTCTTTGCCTAGTTTCAGAAAGGACTTAAAGTGTCAGAAAGAATTTAAGGTTAGCCATTGAATAGGAAAATATAATTATACAGTCTTGGTTCACAGGGCTCATAACTAAATAGAAAATCACAGATGATTTGTATAGAAAGACAGCAACAGGGTGTTCATGCCCATCATAATTATGATCTTATGTCTGTTTTTTGTTTGATTCTATGTTACTGCCTAGAACTCTAGGATGGGGGAGTCATTTGATAGAAAACATTTGATAAACAAGGATTTATTTCCCTTTAAAATGCATATATTCTGAGAAAGCTAATATACTAGCAAATGTCTATTCAGTTCAGTTACTGATTTAATTTTTCAGTATTCCAGGTAGAATCTGCTGTGGGGTGAGTTTTAATGGAGTTTGAAAGCTAAACAACTTTGTATTACGGAAAATTCTGGGAAAGTGGAAAGACATGAATATGGTTCTTTATTGATGTCAGGGCTTATGATTGGGCTGGAGGTAAGATGAATTAGCATTGAGAACAGAGAGAACTACAGGAAAGGTTCTAATCTTCTGATAAAGAAGACGTTTATCTATAAATATTCAACATGAAGGAGTCAAAACAGAAACTCAACTTTATTACATCACTTTACAACTCAAGTTCCTTTCATTCATCCATTCAGCATTTTGTGAAGCCATTAGAGTGTTCCAGGCATAGTGTTCCCCAAAGGCACTTTCATCTTAGATTTGTACTATGATTCAACCACATTATGAGTTAAATGGATTTCTGTGGGCTAGCCAGGAAGCCCGAGTAATATGTAATATTCTTCATAAACTGGGGAATGCTGATATTCCACCCCCATCCTTCACTCAAGAATGAATTAAAAACTAGTCACATTCTCAACTTCCGCAGTTTGTAAAGTATGTCAGTCGTAAGCAGACAGGGTTAGCAGTTGTGTTCTAACTACCCTGTTAACAGTACTAGTTCTGGGAAAGCTAGATTTTCTGTTTGAGAAGAAAATGGTAAGAGAAAATTGTTTTAAAGCATTCTTCCTTGTGATGATTTGTGGTTTTACTATTTATTGTTTCTTGGGGCAAGCTACTTACTTCCTCTGCTTCAGTTTCAATATTTATAAAATGGAGATCATAATAGTACCTGCCTCCTGAATTTGTACGTATTACGTGAGCCTTGTAAAGTGCTGAGCACAGTGTCTGGCACATAGTAAGTACAGCAATTCTGCCCTCTAATGCTTAGAGAAAAACATGGGGACCAAAAAAGTAATGCCAGGTCTCAGCCTGATACACCTTACACACAAACACACACACACACACACACACACACCACACACACACACACACACACACACCACCACCACACACACACGGCAACATAATCTGGTTTATTACTTTATTATTAAAAAAAGAGAAACACGTAGTGGAAGAAATAATCAAAATGGAAAGAAATGTTTCAACTGGAGATAACCCAGCATACAACCACTGCAACCTATGTTGACATATTAAACCTACAAGTTTTCTAACCTGCTTTCTAAAAGCTCTTAAATGTAAATGCATTATAAACCACATGTAAAAAATTATGCCTCTAGTGCTGATTTTTTCAATTATTAAGAAATGAAAAAGAAATAAAGTAGCAATATAAGTGTAATGCTTATTATTCTTCTAAGAGAAATACAAAGTTAGTCATTGTATTAGTCATTAGTTTAGAATTACAGATTATTCAGATCAATAAAGGAGCTGTTGGGCATTGTTGAGGTCTTCCAGATGAGGAAATCAATGTCTTTTAAATCTTCTAGTTTGATAGAAGGCATTTTCTTTTCTTTTGAACTTTGCTGTACACCAGAAATAATTGACACATTGTAAACTGACTATACAGAAAGAAAGAAAGAGAAAGAAAGAAAGAAAGAAAGAAACTGAAGCTACAAAAAATATATATAATAATTTAACATCCTCAACTTGATAAAGAATATCTAAAAAAACATACAGCTGACTTAGTTAATGGTGAGAAACATGAAGCCCTGTCACTAAGATCAGGTACAGGACAAAGATGTTTCCCATCACTACTCCTTTTAAACATAGCACTGAAAGTTCTAGCTAATGCAGTGAGACAAAAACATAAAATAAAAAGTAAACCGATTAAGAAGGGAAAAATAAAACTGCCTTTGCTTGCAGATGATATTGTCATCTATGTAGAGAAGCCAAAAGAATTGACAGAAAAGTCTAATAAGTGATTATATGTTCATAGTGGCACTGTTTATAATAGCCAAGATATGGAAACAACCTTAATGTTCATAGACACAGATGACTGGATAAACAAGTTGTGGTATATTTATGCAATGGAATACTACTCAGCCATAAAAATGACAACATAATACCATTTGCAACAACATGGATGTCCCTGGAGAATGTCATTCTAAGTGAAGTAAGCCAGAAAGAGAAAGAAAAATACCATATGATATCACTCATATGTAGAATCTAAAAAAAAAGAAAAAGAAGACAAATGAACCTATATATAAAACAGAAACAGACTCACAAACATGGAATACAGACTTGTGGTTGCCAGGGGGTAGGCAGATGGGAAGAGATAAACTGGGAGTTTGAGATTTGTAGATACTGACAGGTGTATATATAAAATAGATAAACAAGTTTATACTGTATAGCACAAGGAAATATGTGCAATATCTTGTAGTAGCTCACAGTGAAAAGAATATGAAAATGAATATATGTATATTCATGTATGACTGAAGAATTGTGCTGTGAGCCAGAAATTGGCATAACGTTGTAACGTGACTATAACTCAGTTAAAAATAAAATTAAAAAATCACTGATTGTAGCAAGATTGCAAGATATAAGATTAATATACAAAAGTCAGTTGAATAAGTGGGATTTGAAATTAAAAACACAATACCGTTTATATTATCATCATGAAAAAATGAAATAATTAGGTATACACCCCACAAAATATGCACAAGATCTACATGAGGAAAACTACAAAACTCTATCAAAGATATCAAAAAACTAACTAAATAAATAAATTACATGTTTTTGAATAGGAAGACTTAATATTGTCAAGTTGTCAGTTCTTTCCAACTTGATCTATAGATTCAGTGCAAGCCCAATAAAAATTCCAGCAAGTTATTTTTGTGGATATTGATGAACTGACTCCAAAGTTTATATGGAGAGGCAAAAAAAAATAGCCAATACAATACTGAAGAAGAATAACAAAGTTAGAGAATGGACACTTCTCAATTTTAAGAATTATGATAAAGTTATAGTAATTAAGACAGTGTGGTAGTGGCAAAAGAATACACAAGCAGATCAATGAGAACAGAATTGAGAGCCTAGAAATAGACTCACATAAATATAGTCAATGATCTTTGACAGAGAAGCCAAGGCAATACAATGGGTAAAGATAATCTTTTCAAAAATGGTGCTGGAGCAACTGAACATCCACATGCAAAAAAAAGAATCTGGGAGACAAACCTGCACAGCCCAAGTCCAATGCAGTCTTCGCTTTGGAAACAAAGCATTGGCGAGACATCCTAGTGCTGACCTAATGTCCTCTTGTCTGCAGGGTTCAGACACATGCCGAATGCTGGATAGTCGGACAGGGCTCTTGTTAAAATCTGGCTTAGCTCAGGAGACTGTACAGGTTGGAGGATAGGACAAGGCTTTATCCCTGTGTAGATCAAGCATTACAGTGATGCCCCAGTGTCTCATCACCAATCATAAGGAATTCAGCTGCCTCCCAGGCCGAATACAGCTCTTTCGTCTTGCAATGGTTTTCCTGGGGAGGGAGGCAGCAACTCAGCAAGCATCACAGTTGGTTCTTGGTGAGGGTGTGCTCCTCCCTCACTCATGTGTCACTGTCAGATGACTTGAATTGATAATGCTGAGCCTCTGTGAGGTTGACCTGATGGTGATATATTCATCTTACCTTAACAATGCCTGTTAATCTGCTCAGGGTCAAATTCCTGGAAAGAGTTGGGTGAGTGGAGCAGCTTGTTCCTATATACTCCTGGAAAGCCTCCAGAGTTGAAAGGTACCGTTGCCAGCAACCTGCTTTTTTGCTCAAAGGTCCAGCACCTTGTTTGGAGCCTGATAATGATTTGAAGGGAAAGGTGTAAGCCATATTTCTGCTCAACTCATCTGAAGTTAAGAGGTCTGAAAAAAGAACAAAGCACACATAATGGAATCCAACTCTTAGAGGATGTCAAAAATGGAATTTTCAAGCCAGTTCTTACAACCTAGCTGTTCAAATTAGCGTGCAATCTTTTAGCCTTTCTAAATAAAGATTGTGGTTAAAAGAAGTTTATAAACCTTCACTGAAAAAAAAAATAAAGAATCCAGACACAGACTTTACACCCTTTATAAAAATTAACTTAAAATAGATCACAAACCTAAATGTAAAATGCAAAACTATAAAACTCCTATTAGATAACAGAGGAGAGAACCTGGATGATCTTGGGTATGGTGATCCTTTTTAGATACAACGCCAAAGGCTTGAATTGTAAAAGAAATAATGGGTATGCTGGAGTTCATTAAAATTAAAAACTTCTGTTCTAAAAAGGACAATGTCAAGAGAATGAGAAGGTAAGTCATAAACTTGGAGAAAATATTTGCAAAAGACACATCTAATAAAGGACTGTGATACAAAATACGCAAAGAACTCTTAAAATTCAGCAATAAGAAAACAAACAACCTGATTAAAAAATGGTCCACAGACCCGAACAGCCACCTCGCGAAAGAAGATATACAGATGGTAAATAAGCCTTTGAAAAGATGCTCCATATCATATGTCATTAGATAAATGCAAATTAAAACAAGATTTCACTACATATCTATTAGCACGGTCAAAATCTGGAACATGGACAGCACCAAATGCTGGTCAGGATATGGAGCAGTAGAAACTCCCTTTCATTGCTGATATGAATCCAAAATGGCATAGCCACTTAGGAAGGCAGTTGGAGGTTTCTTATGTAGCTAAACATACTCTTACTAAGTGATCCAGTAATCATACTCTTTGCTGTTTACCCTAAGAATCTGAAAACTTTTGTCCACATAGAAACTTGCATATGGATGTTCAAGCTGCCATGTTCTAACTCAGTCATGGAGTATAATCATGCTCAAGAGTGAATCTGGAGTGAGGACTCTTGTCCAGTACAGCTACTATCCAACTTCAGTCTCAAGCATCGTTGGAAGCCCCACCTAGTCTTCCTCAAAGTGGGTCTACAAACACCAAAATTAGTCTGTAAAATGAATTCATTGTCCTAGAATCTTCAGAAAGCCTGGATCAAAAGGGGCCTGGGGACTGAGAATGAGTCAGGTGTTCTTCAGCTTAGATTAGGGCCCCTTTTATTAGGCAGGTAAAGGTAAGAGGTTGAAATGATGTGGAGGTGAGAGTAAAGGTGGGAGGAGCAATGCAGGAGGGTGGAAGAAGCCGAGAATATGGTTTCAGGAGCCCAGAGTTGGAATCCAGCTCATCCTGCTCTGTGATCTCCTGGCTATGAGAAACCCTACTGAACAGCTTGTAACATTGAACTCTAAACAATTTTACCTACCTTTCTCCACCATTTTATTGTGAGCCTTTTGCAACTTAAACAATATCTTTATCCACCCAACTTTTAATTTTGAATAATTTTACAGCTACAGAAAAGTTGAAAGAATAGTACAATAAATGTCTGTGTATTCTTCATTAAATTTACAAATTAACATAGTACCATGTTAATGTTATCCCTCTCATACTGTATATTCTCTATACACTCAATTTTCTTCTCAAGCATTTGAAAGTAAGCTGCAGATATCGTGGTACTTCACCTTTAAATATTCATTCTGTTTTCTCTAAAGACCCAGACATTCTCAGATCCATAATACCATTATCAGAAACAAGAAATTAACATATATTCAACAATGTCATCTTATATACAACCCCTATTTAGATTTCCTCAATTGTCCCAAAAATGTACCTTATTGCTTTTTTTTTAAATCTAAGAATCAGTACAGGTTGCCATGTTTTTTTAGTCTCATTTAATCTAGTGGAGAGCTCCTACTTTGTATTTTTTCTTTCATGACATTAATGTTTCTGGAAATTTCAGGCCAGGTGTCTTGTAGAATATTCCACATAATGGAATTTTTTGTTAGCTTCCTCATGATTAGTTTCAGAGTATATATTTTTAGGGGAAAATCGGTGAACTTGGAACTTTTTGGCAGTTAGGTCAGTACTTTCTTCCCTCTATAATGAAGAAAGAATCTGTATGAGATGCTTTGAGGCCATGGGACTGTCTTCTCCTAACAACTATTCACCCAGTTGTTTTAGCGTAATTCATGAGTCTTGCCTGTGTTCATTATTATATTGGGAGTGCAATGGTGATTTGAAAAATATATATATATAGATCGATCTATCTATCTATCTATCTACCTATATCATTCTTTCTACCCCTGTTAATTAGCACTCTTCTTTAGAGGAGATTTTGCCACTGCTCTCCTTCTTTAGGTTCCTCTATCTTTCTCTCTCTCTCTTCCCTCCCTCCCTCCATCTATTCTGCCAACCCCACCTCCTCCACCTATGATAAAATATCTCTGTAGATTCATGGGTTTTCTCGTAACAGTGTCTTATAATCCACTGCCATCATTATTGTACTTGATGCCTAAATTATCTCCAGTTTGGCCAGTGGGAGCCCTACCAAGGCAGCAGAGGTGTCCTGACAAGCCCCATTAGTCCTTCAGCACTTCCCTGTTTTGTGGTGCAGAAGATGTCCAGGGACTCTTTGTACTTTCCCTGCCCCAGACCTGGAGTCACCTACCATTTTCCAGGAAGTTCTAGTTCATTTTAGTGGTAAATGGTATTTAGAAACCAAGACTGGGACGTCATTGCTTTGGGGGTAAAATGAAGTAATTGATGGGAGACTACTTAGTAAAAAAAATATAAGGCGCCACCCTGTCGCGATTGTTACCAGGGTCATCAATCAAGCATTCACTTTTTTGGAGCAGTGCTAAATAGCAGCACCAAAATGAGTCTCCCTGTGTTTAGAAGATAATTAGGAGACACAGGACATGTGTGAAGCAGGGAGGGAAACGTAAGCCAGCTTTGTCAGATACAGTGTGGATTCTTATCTGAGGGCTTAAAGAGAGTAAATAGAACAGAAGAAAAAACCGTTGACTGTATTCTCACCTTTTCCTGAAGTTGCTTTGTTATTTAATTCTTCAGATAGAAAAGTATAAAGTGTTTTATAAAGTATTTTATGAATCAGCTGTAATTTTTTTTAAAAAACCTGAAATGGTCACCTGAAAAGTTATGAGACATAAATGTGTGATTTCTTCTATTTTTACCTTTCTTGCATTTGTTTAATAGGTACTAAAAGAACAGTGTAATTTAAAGAATTCTGAAATTTTTTAAAAATTTGCAAATGCATAACTTTTAAAAAATTTTCCTGGTGGAAATAGTACCTGTGTCACATTTGAGGAGTTAGTGTGGTGGCATCTTTGAGTTTCATTGTGGGCAAATAGATTATTGTAGGTTTTGCTTCCTGTGACTTTATTACAAATAAAAAACATAGTTGTCTATAATTTAATTTGTAAGATTCACACTAGAAATATCATTTGATTTAATTTCCAGGCTTTCCTGCTTGTTCTGCATCTCTTTATACTCTCAAATTAAACCTTTTTTTAATGACAATCTCCTATGAGAACATAGATTATGGTAAATTGTCAGAGGACAGAGATCAGTGAACAGGGGGATGCTTAGCAGCTCATTATTTCTAGGGAAGGAATACAAAATAGCCAGGATATCCAGGAAACCGCAATTCTTTTATTTTTAACTTTGCCAGGACTATTTCTTTTGACCATGATGGTAAAGGGAGGGATGAGGATGGAGTAAGGAAGACATACATAGAGACCCAATGGTTTTACAAGTCCTCTCTTCAAAGGAAGCCAGGCTGAAAATGGAAAAGAACAAAGGACATGTGATTGTATGCTCTATGTTGGAATGTCCTTTACTTCTATATTTTTGGTTTTGTGTAAAATTCAGATGGAGGAATGCTGAATGCCTGTGTGTTTGTTGGGCACACTGAGCTAAGTGAGGAAAGTGATTGGGTTTGAGAGTGCTCTGTTTGACCTGTTTCAAGAATTCCTCATTTTCCAATACTGAGCAGAATGAGCTACTCTTAAAAAGAATTCAAAACATATGCAGAAAAATTGGGGCTCATGGTAAAACTCATCCTAGGTCGGTTCATGAGACTGCTTCAGTTTACTAGCAGTTTGTCCTTGGAGAACTTATCTAGTCTTTCTGTGTCTCAGCTTGACCCTTACAAAATGGAAATAATAAAAAGATTTCATAATAAGGTCCCATTAATATGTGTAAAGTGAAGGCAAATGCTACAGTGAAGGCCAATGCTAAGTACCCAACAAATATTAGTTCTTACTTTTATTATTTATATTTTCCTAAGTAGAAATATTTTTAAAAAATCATTTCTCATCAATATGGGATCATTTCTAAACAATCCAGTCAACACGTGAATAAAATACTCAGTCCTCAAACAATTCTCCTTCAGAGGCGATCTGAATCCAGTTTAGGATTAAGGACACCCCTACCCTCTGACTACCCCCATGCCAACCTCCCCATTCCAACCCAGAATAGTTCTCTAGCTCACAGTGGAATTTCTTGGCCTCTCTTAAACTAACTCAACAGTAAGTATGGAACTCCTAAGCTCGGAAATCAGTCCCAAGCTCTGTAGACCAAGTTCATGTTAACATATATATAAGCATATTTGTCTGTGGGTGCTGGCTGTGCTGTCTCCAAATCCCTGATGGAGGTCTGGTCCTTAAGATAAAACTGTGAGAGCTAAAGTAATGT